TGCAGAGAGGACATTTATTTACACCAGAGTATCAGAATACTGACTATATAACATTCATGTGGTTATCAGGACGTAGAAGACTCCATCAAGAAGTAGAATTCTTCATTTATAAATTATCTCTCAATCAAAGAGCATATAAAGTATACAAAATGTATGGGGGAAAAGACGAATCACTTTGACATTTCTACGTCTATGACACTTAAGTAGTTTTTATTTGTCTTTTTCATGAATAGGAAGAAGACAAATCTCTCTTGGAATTTCGTCATTTTCGTTTGTAGAACCCAGTTCATTTCCTGTATTTTCACCTCGTGCTTACCAGCCTACAACATTGGATTTATTTTTGCCTGATTATGTTTGGATTTTCTGTGACCTTCTAGTTGACGAATTTCTCGACATTACTTTCTTCGAATAAGGTTAACATAGGCTAGACTTTTGTCTGTTATGCCATTTACCAAGCGTCCTCAGTGTTGGGCATCATTCTTAAAACTGCTTGAAACTAACTGGTTCAGACAATTTTCTGGCCCCTCCATATGTGTCGCATATTATTGCAGCATTATGCATTTTTGTGTGGCTGGTTAATGTCATATGCCAATCTAAAAACTTGTACTTATGAGTCCTTGTATGTAGGTGTGTCTGCTAATGCGTAATTACGAGCGCGAAAAACCACACAAACGCACACTTACACATGGTGCTATATTCGCATAATACATGAGTAAGCCTTACGTAAATGCATAGAGTTGAAATAAGAATGATACCAATCTTTAAGGTTACTTGTCAAGGGGCATAAAGGATGAAGCTTAGCCCTATTTCATCGGAGGAGAAGCAGAAATTTCCAGTAAAATCAAACGACGAATGGCCAAAATAAATCAACCATCGTCTTCTGATTGTCTTGATTCACAAATTTCGTCATAGAAACCTGTTCCTCGAAACAGCTCAGCGGATATTTTTTGTGACTGAGATGAACGCCTTAAGGAACTTGCGTGTATGTATCAGCTGATCGTAACTAGGTTGGTGTTACTGCCATCATGGACCAATTCCTAGTCCGCCAACTTTGTACCATACCCTCTATCCGGCACTAAATTAACCTTTATATGTAAAGAACACTAGGATTTCGAGGAATCTTACTTTACTTTAACGTGAAATTGTATGATGAAGAGATTCAAAGTTAGATCTCATAAGAATGACTTAGAAATCACAAGCAATCCGGTAAATAACAGAAGGTTATCTGCAACCAGCCTAGCCTAAAGAGATAACAAGTCGAAGAATGACGATTCCAAAGTACGTTCAGTCATATTAAGGAGGAGACCAGTTGGCTCTAGCTACAGCATACCGAAAAACTTGCATAAAAAAATAATTAAAATATAAATATCAAAACTTGTGACTAATGAAAGTAAGATCCGAAGAGTGTTTAAACAGCAAAACTCTCCGTAATTCCTAAATAAGAGTTGTATCACTCTGGATCGCTTAATGTGATTAAAGGAAGGATTACGAAATCTCCCTTATTAACAAGAGTTAGCCTCATATTGGCATTAAGTTTTAATTATCATTGTCTTCCAAATGGTTTTCTCATCCTGTCTTCTGGATTCCAAACAGGACCTGGTGCATTGTGGCGAAAACGTACCATTCCGCTACACAATTAAAAGTCAGACTCAAGGTGCAGCTCTAGCTATCAGAGAAAGCTGTGCCTATATCCTATAACATTTTATAATGAAATTATTTTTAATAAAAACAGATATTTACCCTTACAATCAAAGGCATGTTTTACATGAGTATGTTTTGAGACTATCAATAAATTAATAGTCATTCATCCATACAGTGTACATACGAAGAGTAGTTGGGTTTCGACAAAAATTGCCGTATAGATATTCAATCCCTATGAAGATATTTGGTGGCGGGATTCGCAAGTCTAACATTATACACATTCGTTCACCCCTCAGTCAAGCTTATCAACCATGACAGAAGCATGAAATCGCGTAATCTCATTCATGCTTAACCCTGGGTCATTGGACCGTGGTAACCCTGGGGACTAAGGAGCTATGCCTAATGGATTCATATCTTGATTTAGGAGCTTACAGACTTACAGCTCATTATGCATTCTGACAACTCAAATTAGATCATGCTTTTTTTGGGTCATTAAACCTTAATGACCCAGGATTGATGTTAGCCTCTGTCATAAAAAATAGTAGATATTAAAAATCAAATGGTGGGACCTTCATTTTGGTCAAAGTCTCTTTTCATTGTTTAGGAGTGGTTTGACTTCGTTTTCACAAGTTGCTCGCGCTCCCAGCAAGCTGGATGAACACAACCTATCCGAAGTTAACTGCCATAGTAGTTATGATAATTTTCAGCGTCTGTTCATGAATTTGGTGTACTCCTACATATCTCTTCCACATCGACTCCTTGAAGAGGTATAGCTTGGTGGAAAGACCGAAAAAACCCACTGAAGATGCCGATGACGTGACCGACGAAACGTCTGGGAATGTATCAAGTCCGTTGTTCGACACAGGACTCTACCATGACTATTGTAGCAGAGAACTTCAGAGAAAGTAAGTTCATCTATGTCGGTATGACAGCACAATTACAATGCAAAAACAGAGTCAAACCACAACTTTGTAAGTAATCTGAGTTATGGTCGGCATTTCGTACTCTGAAATGCATGTGTATAAATACTTGTATATTTATTAATATAAGATTATTTGGATTATTATAAAAAGAGCTAATCAACGAAGTCTATATCTAGCTATCTAAATCTATATATTTTGTTTTTTTTTTCGTTTCAGAATGCAGATTTTGTCAGTTAAAGCTGACCAGTTTCCCTAGCTTCGGCCAGGTTTAAGTAATGTTTGCGTGCATAAAGTTGGTTGCTCAGCAATCAAATAACAAAATGTCATATTTTAAAGGCCTGACTAGTCTGGAAATTCACTTCCGTCATGCAACCTCGCACTTGCAGCAGTCTGACGTAGGGATTATATGTCGACAATAAACACAGCATCATTCAGTTTCGATTCCAGAATAGGGTACTGAGGGGGACCAACTTGAGATTTAATCTGGATGAGATTACCTTATGGGAGCAAACGCCAGATGGAATTCCATGGCTTCGTGAGGTAGAGTTACAAAATTGTGGCGACATTCAATTATCACTTCTTTATTATTTACTGCAACCTAGGGTAAATACAGTTTTTATACTGGGCTTAGTGCTACGTTAAACCTTCGATAACATGTGTTCGACGGCTCACGATGTAAGTTAAATGGAATGAAGGTCGAAAACACAATCATTTCGTCCAAAGGAATATATCAGTTGTATTTACCATATTTCGTTTAAGGGCTCAAATTCTGCTTTTTATAAGAAGGAATATGTTGTGGACAGTGCTAGCTTGAACTTGGTCAACTTTAGAAAAACTGGAATCAACCACATTCTTCTGGTGATAAATAGTTAAGTATATCTTCTTCAGACACTTTCTTAAGAAATAAAAGCCTACAAAACATCATTGGTTAGTCAAGTTTGCTTAAGCTGATTTAGAGATGGATACTAAAATTGTCAACAGAGAGCAGTGTTAATAAGGAGTGACACATTTGGAATGCCTTTGAACACATGTTACGAGGTTAACAAATGCAATGAAGAGGAAATCGAGGCAACCAATCAATGTTATGAATAAATATTGTCTTTTTGAAGCAAAGCTTGACCTCGAAACATGCCCGAGGGCATTAGTTCCACTTGACATGTAAGTTCGGGGATAAAGTTTTATTTGAGAGTAAGTAATTAGTGAAT